GCGTAATTAAGTGACATAAACAAAAAATACGCGGCTCAAAAGCCAAAAGTGTAGAAAAAAAAAACTACAAGTGAGAACGTTACAGACGAGCGCAACCGACGGCAGTAATACTCATTAATTGACTGAAACAATGATAGAATTTACAGATTAAATTTTATTGATACATATTTTATTTATTTTTATAAATACATATTTTTAATATATTTGTAATCACAGCTTAAACAATATATACATATATATTTATGTATGTATATCAAAACACTAGCTTCATAAAAATAAATTAAGACGAAATGCATTAATTTTCTGCTGACATTACATAAAAACCAATATACTCTTTTCAGTCTGTGAATCAGTATAGAGTACATACATGCTGAATGTAAAGCTATATAAAATATATGTGTGTGTATCCGTCTGTCTGTCTGTCTTTATATTCATGCACATACACAAATTCTAAAGTTAAAACCTTTCCACTCAACTGGTGTTTACCGGCGGGTGGCAAACATTTCGCCGCTTTAATAATTAACAGGTGCAAAGGTGAGCAGCTTACGGTAGTCATCCACATGTGCTGCGCCCATGATCCGCCACAGTTCGATCAGAGTGCAAAATGGTACGCAATTCACATTGAAAGCAAAAATAAAACCCGTTTGATCAAGTTGAGCATTTTCGTAGCTGTGGCTGCGGCCAGGTAGCCGCCAGCTGGACTCTGCCCCAATAAAATGTGGCACAGCTCCATGAGCCATGACGCCCGTTGCATCACTGTGAAAATCAATCAAGCATAGCTGCAGCCAAATGCAGCGTGTTTGAGTCTGCAAATAGAGTTCACAAATGAATTACAAATGTGCTTATAATAGATAGTCTACTCCATTATCTAAGTTTTTGGTAAATTAGTCACGAGTAAATTAGCGACAGCTTGATTTATAATTATTGATTAGAAAGTTCTGAGGTTTTTATGGTACTCCAATATAGAATGTATATAATTAACTTTGATAATTTAACGATGCTATATAAATTAATTTTAACCAATTTAAACTAATTTACAAATATG